CTCAATGAATTCAATAAAAAATCTGATTGGCTAGTTTGATTAAACTGACCAATCAGATTCGTTATTGAGTCCATTGAAGTAGGTGCTTGAGAACACCCATAATCAGATAGATATCCGGATATAATAACACGGATAAATGGGTGGCGGATTTATCCGGATCGGACCTCTATCAACTAGAAACTTCATTTTTGTATCTTGCATGCTGCATTACGAAAATGTAATATTGTGTATGTCAATTGTGCTTATTTTCGCGAGTATTACAAAATCTAATATTTTATCTCGAGATGCTTTGTAACATGAATGACTCATTAATTGCAAGAAATTTTGCTGTCGGAATGAGTTTTCCGCATAAGTAAGCCAAAAAGGAAATTTATATGAGGACAGAAATTTAAGGTTAAGGCATTAATGTTACTATATATGTGTAAATTTCTCTCCTATCACTTATAATTAGTGCACAATGTCGATTTGAACATTAAATTTCGAATATTTTCATTATTTTTCATCCACACTCTATGTCCAAATGCGCTCTAATATTGGTTATTCATTTACAGAAGTTTGTATTACTCTCGCGAAACCCATACGTACATACGTATGTTAATGTTTTGTGTTACATTATTTCGGATCATGCAATACCTTAATAAAATGCGAAATTTTTGTATTCAGTGAAATTTTGTTTATAAGGATTTACGTGATAGGAGAGTTTTTACATAATCGTGCGTATTATTAATTATATCATAAAATAAATTTAAAAACGAAGTTGAGGAAATAATAAAACAAGAAACATGCAAAACAATAAATTGACCCGAATGATGGGGAGCGTCTTAAGCAGTTTTAAAATTCCAGGCAAGAAAATGTCGAATGACAAGGATGAAGAAGACGTGTCAAGAGCATGTGAGTTATGCAAAAGGATATTCAAATCTATAATTCAAATATTATAATAATAACATAAAAAACAAATGTATTAGTAATTTCATATTCAGAAGAGTTAGAAAAGGATCTAAAAGACCTGGGCGTAAAAAAATTTAATTATTCAAAGTTTAAAGGCATAGAAGAAGTTGGGCACGGAGGATCATCTATTGTTTATTCAGCAGTTTTTCGAAGGAAAAAATATGCACTAAAAAGTTTAGAAAATAACTTGAGTATTAATAGAAGAAGATTTAAGGAGATGAAACGTGAGGTAATATATAGTTATTTTGTTAAAATACTCACTCCATCATTTGGCTGTAAAAAATTTAATATTTTAGCTTCAGGACTCCATAAATGATACATTAAATTTTACAGCCTGATGAGAATTTATTCGAATAATACAATGCATCAATATAATTTTATATAGTCTATTAATTATAAACAACTATATATAGCTTAGACTTCTTTACCATCTTGATCATCCAAGCATCGTCAAATTTTATGGAATTTCGATCGGTATGTAATCAATTTGAACTGAACATTGAAACTTATTATATCTTCGCAAATAATCGAGAATGTAGACACAATTTTCCAATTTTAATTATTATTTTAAAAGATTATGCAGTTGTGATTCCAATTATTTGTGACGTTGTGACTTCTTTGCATATGAACTTTTATTTCACTTCCTAAACATGATTCATAAAAATTTTTAGAACCACAAAAGAAGAATTTTATTATAGTGTTGCAATTTGCCGACGGCGGAACCTTACGGAATTATTTAAAAACAAAGTATGAAGGAGGAATTTTTAAAATTTCATGGATAGAACTCATTAAAATCGCGAAAGAGATTACAGATGGACTGAAGTATTTACATTCTAAATCTATCATTCACCGCGATCTAGTAAGTTTTTTCTAAATTTCTTAATGTATATTCAATTTAAATTAGTCATAATAATTTAAATTCTTTAGCACTCCAACAATATCCTGATCAATGACCATAAAGCTTTGATCGCAGATTTTGGTGTGGGGAAACAAATAGATAAAACTGCAACCTCATCAAGTTTAGGTGAACATGGAATGATACCATATATGGATCCACAATTATTAAAAAGTGACAAATTTATACATCATAAAAAATCCGATATTTATAGTTTGGGCGTATTGTTCTGGGAACTTACGAGCGGAGTTCCTCCATTTCAATACCTTACCCAACAAGCCATATGGTTAGAAATTTTAAAAGGCAAAAAAGAAAACCCTATCGCAAATACGCCTTCAGATTACGTTAGGCTCTTCAATAAATGCTGTTCTCATGATCCAGAAAATCGACCAAAACTAGATGAAATCTCTCTCACACTTGATGAATTATCGACAGAAACTTCTGTTGAATTTATAGTAAACAATCCTGAGATAGTACCTGAGGATAGCCAACTAATGCTAGAAAATCCCAAAAACTTTCAAAACAATACATGTAAAGAATCTAAAATTACTGATTATATTTACAGTATTTTTGCAATCTTGCTATTTGTCTCATTTTAAGATTTCAGCTAATTTACTATCTTTTTTTAATATTTAAGGTGAGCCTAGACTTTTAATTGTTTCACATTTTTTACCACATACTATCGTAAAAGCGGTTGGTGGTTATAAACTTGAAAAGTCTTCTAATGGCTTGGTAAACATACTCAGCGAATTTGCAAAGTCAAGAAAATTTATTTGGTTCGGACGACCAGGTATAAATTCAATTTTATTTATTTATTTATTTATTTTGTTGTATTTATAATGTTAATTTTGATAGAGGTTGAAATAGAATTTAAACATATCTGAATTTTCTACATTGAAAGTCGAGTTTTAAAGTTTAAAATTCAGAAATTCAATACCAGCATCTATAAAATTGAATCTTATAAATAATTTGAATATATTGTTTACTCATTTTTTTTTATTTATTTGTTTATTCATTTATTTATTCATTTGAAGAGTAATCTCTAACTATTTGTTTCTTTTTCAATTAGGTGGAAACGTACCTGAAGAAAGAGATAAGATTGCTGCGCAGCTAAAAGAATCATCATATTATCCTGTTTTTATCGAAAATTATTTGACTGAACGTCATGATAATTTCTCAAATTCGACTTTATGGCCATTGCTTCATTATCGCTTTCCTGGAGATAATTTTTTCCGTCAAGAAGATTGGGAAGCATATAAGACTGTTAATGGTCTTTTTGCAGATGCTATTAATGAAATAGTTCAAGATAACGACTTAATATGGATACATGGTCATCATCTTATGTTTCTACCAGAAATATTAAGGAAAAAAATTAGTAGTAGGAAGTTAAATGTAAATATTGGTTATTTCTTACACACATCATTTCCAAGTAATGAAGTTTACAGGTACAGTATTATCAATTTTTATTAATATAAATTAATTCTAAAGTAATTTTGATGAAAATTTTTAAAATTTTATAATGCAATATGAATAGAATTCTTCCTGTTCGTGAAGAAATTTTGTCTAGTGTTCTTAAATCTGATCTGGTTGGATTTCAGACGTTAGATCATGCTCAACATTTTCTTTCTTCATGCACTAGTATATTAGGTTTATTAACTAAACCTAATAGAGTTTACTATGAAGATAGACATGTGCATGTTGGCATATTTCCAATTGGAATTGATCCAGAAAGATTCATTGGAGTACGTTTAGTTTTTATAGTATTAGTACCGTAAAAGGCCATATAAAAGACCCTAGACCCACACCTGTGTGCAGTTCTCAGGATCTTCTTGATTGAAATGCAATTCTTTTCAAACGTCTAGATTGCGTGTTACAAGTGCAAAGTAGATATGCGTTTCAAATTTTTACTTTCGATTCTCAGCCATGTACTATATACCCCGGGCCTACTATAGGTTTTAAAATTGGTGGAATGTAACATACCAGGGTCTTTTATATGAACGTTTGCGGTATCAAAGATTAAAGGACTACTATAATTAAATAATATTTGTACTGTTTATTTACTTTAAATTATATTTCTATAATATTATTAGAACTTAAAACAAAAAACACGTTCTAACTATTGTTTTTTCTGCACATCTTAACTAAATCACAGAGCCTAAACGAAGTGGAAGTTCAAAGACATATTAGAGACTTGAAAGAAAAATATAAAAATATAAAAATTATTTCAAGCGTAGATCAATTGGATTATATAAAAGGTGTTCCGCAAAAGTTACACGCATTGGATTTATTTTTAACTAAACATCCTGAATGGATTGGTGAAGTTATACTTATTCAAGTAGTAAAGTCTTCTCGATGGAATACTGAGGAGCGTAATAATTTACGTCATATTGTCAATGAATTGGATGGAGAAATTAGTGGCAAGTTTAGTTCTTTTAAATTATCACCTATTCATTTCATGCATCATGATCTTTCTTTCGAAGAGTTATTAGCACTATATACTGTGTCAGATGTATTTATAGTTTCATCGTTAAGAGATGGTATGAATCTTTTACCTTATCAATACATTTCATGTCAAAAAGAAAATAATGGGGTGTTGATCCTTAGTGAATTTGCTGGCGCTGCTCAATGTTTGGATGGTAAATATATTCTTATGTACCATGCTTCTCACATTGATATTATTTTGTATTAACATAAGTTAAAATTCTTAAAGGTTCTATTTTAGTAAATCCTTGGAATATAGATGAATTTTCTGATGCTATTTATGAAGCTGTTATAATGGATAAAAGATTGCGTAAATCTAATTATATAAAACTACGTAATTACGTTATGAATCATACTATCTCTTTTTGGGGAAAAAGTTTTATTGATGAATTAAAGGTAATTAAGTTATATAAATGCACCTACTATCTTAATTCATTCGAATCTTTATTAATCTTAATTTTATTAGTGCATTAAAGGGTATTGTTCTCAAATTACCCCACATTTGGAAATTAATCAAGTTTTAAAAGCTGCAAACACTGCTAATAAGAGAATCATCCTATTAAATTATGATAGAACATTAATCACTCATAAGTTAACAGAACAATCAAATAATATAATTTCTACTCTTAAAGCGCTTCAAAAAAAATCTAATACATATGTTTATATATTGTCTGGTCATCGAAAAGTTAATCTCGATGAACAATTTGAATCAACTGGAGTTGGCTTGTCTGCAGAACATGGCTGCTTTTACAAACATCCAAAATGTTTACAAGAGAAAGTAAATCCTATTTTAAATCGTGAAGGAAAGATTATAATAGAGGAATATGATGACTGGTATAGACTTGTTGAACAAATTGATCCTGCATTGAAGGAAATAGTTCTTCATTTATTTAATCATTACATGGTAAGAACTCCTGGTGCTTCTATTGAAGAAAAAGAGATTGGTATAATATGGCACTATTGTTCAGGTCCTGAGTTTGGTAAATTTGGATTATGGCAAACTTTGGATTTACAGGATAATTTGATAAGCAATTTAGTTCATATGCCTTTAAAGGTAGGCTATTCATTTAATTATTTTTCATTAGTTATTAAGTAATTCTTAATTATTAATTTTTCTTTAGATAATTTTGGGTGACAATAATTTAGAACTCCGATCTTTGTTTGTCGATCAATCAACTGTAGTTCGAGCCATTTTTAAAGATTTAAGCATTACACAAGATTCCTTTGTGCTTTGTATTGGTGACGAAAGTCCAGATGAACCTATATTTTCCTTATTAAAAAATGATGAGTTAAAATCTTTGAATTGTTTTACGAGTACGGTTGGAAAAAAACAATCAAATGCTACGTTTTTCCTTGAAGATACCCATGATCTTCAAAATTTCTTAGTAAAATTGGCATCTGATTTGTCTGATTAATTATCTTTATCCGTAATATAGAAGTCTGTAATACCTCACTCATCGGTGCACAAAATTGTGCATGACTTATTCTGATTCTTTTTTTTTTTTTTTGATGGTGGTGGTTTTATTAAACGGGAATTTGGAAGTTCTAGTTGGAGTAGTATGTATTATTTAACGAACTGTAAGGTCTCTGACAGCTAAAAATTGCGCCTGAATTTGTCTTAATTAACTCAGTGTCTCTAGCACTTTAGAATAGATTTTGTGCACTATAATCAAAAGTGCAACAAAAAATAAACCAAAATAGATCAATATATATAATCAAAAAACAAACCAAATAATGACCTTATTAATAATCATTGGAGAAAGCATTGGTGGTATCATTGCTTAGTATCTGTTATTATTGTAACTTTAAGATTTATTAATAGGTTATTAATTGATTTCAACCTGTATAAATGATTTCTTTTAATTAGTGTTTACTATTTTCTCACACTAACAATATTGCTTTGCAATTAATACTAATTAATCTTTTAAGATCATAAGAATATAAAAATTGATTTGAATTCATTGCTAGGTAAATGACCTACAAACCATATTACGTACTGTATTAAATTGTTATAAATTATTTTTATAGTAATAACAATAAATAGCAATAATATTTATTTGTATCAATCTCATATCTATACGTATAAGTAAATCTCAATATTATTAAAATATTTTATATAATTTATTTTAAATAAAATTAAAAAGAATAAAATATTCTCAAATAAGAGAATTTTATTATACATATCGATATTTTTAACATTCTTTAGGAATATGACAGATAACTTTATAATTATAATGTTACATTCAGCCTTATTAACTTTCATTTGAATACTTGCCAAAAATGTTAGATGAAATCTTGGGGTTTTTTGCTAATGAAATGCAAAACCTAATTTTGTCTTTTTTCAATTAAATCTTAACTATCAAATAATAAAACTGACAAAGGTGACAAAATTGACAAAAGGAGATGATACCGATAAAATGTAATGATACCAGGCCTGCCGAAAAATTAATTTAAATTAATTTTTGCTATACGTCATACAATTAAAATCAATTAAAATTATCATAAAATTAATTGAAACCCAATTAATGACGAAATAATTGCAATTAATTGCAATTAAATTCAATTTTCTTTCACTGGTGTAACCTGATCTTTTAAACAGCGAAAAACAGAAATCAAAAATCATATCGTAGTGGAGAATATACGATATTATCTAATTACGTAAAATTGCAATTAATTGACTAATTGTGACTGTGGCACCAATTAATTAATTGAGCTTGAAAAATTGCAATTAATTGCCCTTACAATCAATTATTCGGTAGGCCTGGATGATACTGTAAAAATGTGATGAGACTGATAAAATGTAATGAAACTGATAAAACTGCAAAGGTTAACAAACCTAATAAAAGATAAAGATACAGACAAATATTGTTAAAACTATTGAATAAGAAAATCCATGCTGTTAGTCAATTCACTGAAAGTTACCTCCCTGTCAGCTCATTTTTCTGGCACCTTAATTGGCATGCTATTTCATCTACAGCACATTTTTTCGATAGGATATATATTCAACATTACGTGACAAGACATTTCCTCAATAATTATTTCTTTGACATATAATTGACCAGATTTACAGCTATTTTCAAAATGATATGGAAAATGATTTCCATATACCCATGTGATGAATCAAAAATGTGGAAATTTTGCTTAGTAAAATTAAAAATCTTATTAGAGTGGGTCTTGAAAACTCTAGAAATCTAGAAAATATCATCTGGATCTTTCTACAAATTTTGAAAACGGCTATAACATCAGGGTTGACTTGATCTAAAATTAGTATTGATGCCAGGAAATGTCTTGTCTAAAAAAAAAAGAATTGAAAAAAACATGTAATATCAAATATATATCTTATTGAAAAATGCGCTGTAGATAAAATAGCATGTTATGCATTGGTGGATTTTTAAAGGATCATACAGTAATCAAAAATAAAATAAAACAGGAATTTATAAAAATTACAAAAAACATTATTATATAATTAAGCACTTGAATTACTTAACTGTATATGTCAAATATCTGACTCTGGGTATCAAATTAAAACCCCAGAGAGGCTAATACTTGTCAGCCCCAGTGTTTAAAATTCAGATCAAAAACTACATGCACAATGTGCATGTACTGTGCAAATTCTGATGCATATGTGAAAAGTTTGATGCACATGTGTGCACATAAAAAAAAATTTTTGATGCAGATATTTTTATAAATTAACATAATTGAATAATTAGTGTAATATCAAATGTATAAAAGTATGAACTCTATAAAGGAAATTCAATAAAGTAATTATGAAACTATTTAATACGTGAGCATTTTATTTTATTAGTTTGCTTATTTAAAATTAGCCTCTCATTTTCACAACTTTAAGCCATTAAATTCAGGAAGTTAACTTGTAGATTGCTAGTAAATATTATAATAAAAGCCTGTTCACAAGTATTTAATTTATTTTATTCATGTTATAAAGATTGTTTATTAGTCTATGTATTTAAATCAATAATTCCAAATACATAAATACTTTTTCAAGATTTTTTTATTAAGCTATGCATTTTATCAATTCATTTAATTTGCATTTTTTTGGTAAAATAAATACTATAGTAGTATTATATTTATTTTAGCTATTAGTAACAAATACTATCTTATTTTTTTGTATTGATAAATAATCAAGAAAAGACATAACAGATTAATAATAGTTAGTGATAGCAAAATTTAGTAGAAACTAAAAGATCAATTAATTTCATTCATATTAATTGGCCGTTAAATATAAAGATCATTCATTACAGCACTTCTAAATTACTTTAACTAGCAAAATTCAAGTATCACACACATTTTTAGAATTCTAATTCCATTTTAATAAATAGAATTTACTGGTAATAGTAATTTAAAAAATACAGTAATATATATTTGTATTTAAAAATCGACAATTATATATGCTTATTGTATATTCAATTTATTTTAATTATAATAATTATTATTCAATTCTAATCAACTCAATGGCAGGCAACTTAGTTTACCAACAATTAATTTAGATGTGGTCTATTTACTGATGATTAAAAAGTAGATTTAAATTATATAATTTTGTACATCAAAATATAAAATTTTTTAATGTACAAAATTATTTGTACACTTATTTTTATTAAATTTTAAATGCAAAGTTGTACATTAATTTTTTAAAAATTCATACACATAAAAAAACTTACATGCACATATGCATCTTGTTCATGTTAATTTTAAATACTAGTTAGCTCTCTAGAATATAACAATAGTTGTAATATAAGTGAGTATTAGAAACTTTGGGTCCAATTGACAAACAGTTTAAAGAATAATAACTTATAAAGCAATTTATTCAACTTAGACTAGAGTTGGCCTCAAAATAAATCCTACTCAAAATTAGTTTTAAAAAAGTTCTAATCCAAAACTAGTTTTGGATTTTTTTAAAAAAAATCAAAACTCTGAAACCCAAAACTTCTTAAACTATAATCTAAAATCCCAAAACCATAGTTAACCAATCAAAATGCATAATTAAGTAAAATATTAGTCTAAGCAATTATAATTTTTAAAAAATTATTTTATTTTCTGTAGCTATATTTAATAATTTAAAATTTACTAAAGTAATCTAATTTAGTAAAAATATTACTCTCACAATTTTAATCTAACCCCAAATCCTAACTTTAACCTAACTCCAACCTAACTCTAACTAAACCCTAATTTAACCCTAACTAAACCCTAACCTAACCTAACTAAACAATAACCTAACTCTAACTAAATTCTAATCTAACTCTGACTTAATCTTAATTTAACTTTAATCTAACTTTAACTCTAATACTAATAGCTACAAAATTTTTTATAAAAAATTATATTTAGTAGTATAGCTACATGCAAACTATAGCTATATAAATAAATTAATTTTATAAATTTTTTTTTATATAAAAATAAAAATTTTATATTAAAAAATTTTATAGCTATTCTTATAAATAATTATTTTTTATACCCCCAGATTTATTATTTATACATCCTGCAAATTTAACTTTTTTTAAAACTTTAAGCAAAAATATCTTGGTAACACCAAGCCAAATTTGACAAATATTTTTTCTTTGAATTCTATAGATTTGTAGAATTTAAACAAAAAAAAATCATCAAATTTGGCCCTGTAGTTGCTAAAATATTATTGTTCAAAATTTGAAAAAAATCTATCAAAACAAACTATACAAAATTGTTTTAAACTTTGAGTAAAGATACCTTTGCAACTACTGGGCCAAATTCAATAATTTTTTTATTTTAATTCTATGAATATGTAGAATGCAAATAAAAAACATTTATTGAATTTAGCTTGGTGTTTGTTGAGATATCATCGCTTAAAGTTTTAAAAAAAACTCAAAATGTCTATTAAAATAAAGCTATACCAAATTTTTCTTAAACTTTAAGTGACAATATCTTGACAACTACCAAGCCAAATTCAATGAATATTTTTTTATTTGTATTCTACAGATTCATATAATTCAAAAAAAAAATCATCGAATTTGACCCAGTAGTTGCAAAGATATCATTGCTCAAAGTTTAAAGAAAACTTTGTATAGTTTGTTTTGATAGATGGTTTGATTTTTTTCAAACTTTGAGCAATAATATCTTAGCAACTACTGAGCCAAATTTGATGAACTTTTTTTGGTTGAATTCTACAAATCTATAGAATTCAAAGAAAAAATGTTTGTCAAATTTGGCCTGGTAGTTACCAAGATATCTTTGTTTAAATTTAAAAAAAAAGTTAAATCTACAGAAGCATACAAATAATAAATCTGGGGGTATAAAAATAATTACCTTCTTATAAGTTCTAGAACAATAAAAAATTTCTAATAACTGAATTCAATAAGTTTCTAAATTTAGCTATTAGAAATTTTTTGTTGTCTCAAAATTTATAAAAATAGCTGTACCTTTTTTAAAA